TCTTCCTTTCCCGTCTTTATCTCCATATTTACATCATCGTTTAACGGATAATCATTATTATGGCTCATCATTGCCGTTTATTATTTTCTATTACGTGAACAGAATGAGACATCGCGGTGTTCACCGACGCTTTCGACTGCGTTTTATTGTCAGAATCGTCGAGAGAAGGTCCGCTCGTAAAAAAAAGAAACCGGAGAAAAGGAAATGAGAAAAAGAACCCCTTCCAGAGATTTAACAGATTTCGATCAACCAAATTATTACAACGCACGTGTCTACAGAATTTCTGAATGCGTACCACCGATTTAATTGCCATTGAGCGTGATATACGTACAATGACATGAAAATTATCGATTCGGTACGCGGGTGACGACGCATGAAATTTCGAAACTTACGAAACTCCTCCGGAGATACGCAGCGGCATTAAAATTGAAACCGTATAAATAATTTTCAGATCTCTCGAGACCGCACACAGTTATAAAATGTAAATTTTGATATTTATTCACACAATAATGGAATAACGATAGAGTTCCGTTTTGCGCGCGTAAAACTCGTATAATTAACATTCGCGATATCAATGATCGTGCACCAGTTTCAGGAAATTAATATGTATTTTCTAAAATGAAGGTTCTCGCTCAGCTTTTGAAAGTGCATTAGAAGTATAATGGCTCATTGAGTGCCATTAAGTCGCGGAACTCCCCCAGATCCGCGTGGTATTAGAACTACTTGGAAAACGTACGAGCCGACGCATAATAATGCATTGACGGTCCAACGAGGGCGTATCGGAGGCGGCGATGAGCGGATGTTAATGGTTAATTAAGGGTATCGATCTCGGATCGGCGATCGAGAGAGTGCGGCTGTGGGTGCGCGTACTCGTACATTATGCATATTATACTTGCTTGCGTAAGTCGCCGCTCCAATTTCCAGTCGCGGCGAGAGACACGCGCGAAATTACACGCTCGGCGTTGTCGAGCGACGGGCGATTTTACGCGCCTAGAACCGGCGTCAAATTTACACCCGGGAATCATTACGATCGACACTCTCGCCGACATTAAAAGGTGCGAATTACGTGCGTATACGCGCGATAAATTGCCAATTATCCCGCCGTTTTTTTACGCGGCGCGAATCCTGTAAAACGACCACCGGCTTCCTTTACGCCCATTTATCAATTAATCAATTCCGAGTGGACATTGCATCGTTACGATCGCGAGCGATCGCGATTAAGTCGCTAAAAAGTCGCGATGGCTGTTTTCCCGTCAAATAATTTGTGCAATTATTTATGCAAACGCGCGAAAATTGTATTCTCGCACGATAATAATAATGTAACGACTGACTATTAGACCACATCGTCGGCAAAAGAAAGAGAGAGACAGAAAATCATATGAAATTTTACTGATGTAGATCGGATTCTGCTCAACGTTCGATTTCTTTTATCTCCAATATATACGACGGAGGTGTCGTGTCCGTATATCATTAGGATAGAATAATTACGTAACGCCACGGGGACCATATAATCATTGACGCGCGTGCTGTGTAACTATAAATCAAGCGGCAAATTTTGTAATACGCGCGTGCCAGCGGATTACGTACATTTCCCAGTCGTGTAAATAAATTGCTTCTGCGTGCCTGCGCCCGTCAAAACCGACGCGTAACGTGTTAATCATTTGCGACACATGGATGCAATTCGCGTTCTATGTAAATCGCACTCGCGTCGTCGCGGCGTCGGTGATGTCTATTACGGTGCTGTTTACACCCCGGTATCGCGCTCGATGCGAATGGAAGAACTGTGAATGATGAATGGAAGATCTATCGCCGTTGATTTATGAGAACGACCCAATAATGCTGTGATATTTTCATAGCGCACGTATTGCACCAAGCTTTAAATTACAGTCCGATAAAAATTAAATTCAAAGCTGGAAATAAAGATAGAACTCGATATTAAAGTAAAATTCCAACCTGTAAATGAAACAAAAGAATTTAGTTTCTCTCCTCATATTCGATACTTGGACGTAGTGGATCTTTGATTTTATAGAGCCTGCATATATGTGGGTTTTTTTCTTAGACAATAGTCCACGTTGTTTTCCGCGTTGCGTATTGATAAGTGCACGATTGAACGAGCAGTGAGCGAGCGGGAGAATCGCGACGCGTTATCACCTTTGGCTCTCGTATGTGGATATTATGCTGCCTCGCTTATGCGTATGTTTCCTCTCTTTTCTCTTATTATACGTACGCGCAAATACGCCTCCGAGCCGAGCCGAAGGTGGAGAGACCGGGAACCGTTAACGACACCTTGTTCACACGGACGTACGTGCACGTGCACGTGTAAATTTCAGAAAAGATTAAAAGGATCAGAGATATGGAGAAACGGCGAGAAAGAGAGAGATAAAATGCGCCGTCGTGGAAAATAAGGAGCGCTTCATCTCGATAAAACAAATACTCCCGACGGGGAGTCTGCGACCCGCGATTGCACTCGATTTACGATTATCGGGGACAAAATGCGAAGAGGCGCGTAATATCGTTAACATTATGTTATCTCGCGTTAGCTCTCATATATCGGTGATAATTGCGACTGTGCGGGGCAAGCGAGAGTGTTTTCTTAAATATTAAATATTCTGAGATTGCTCCTCTTAATGTCAAAGAAACTCCAAGATCTTTCCCGTGTATACAAACGTGTCTCAATTAGTCTCGCTATTCTCAATATTCCAGTTATTTCGTTCGAGATGAGTCGACTCGTACGCATCGTGATAACTGTGATGAAAATCAGAAGTCCAGTCTCGATTGTCTAATAGTATTAAAAAAAATAAATAAATAAACTATTTTAAGTGTCGACTGTGGAAGAATTCTAACGGGATAACCGAGGGGATAACTGTGTCGCGGAAGGAAGCGAAGCTTTTTGCCGCGCGACGATCCGTGAGAACTCGAGACGCTCGGTTCAAATCGCGATAAAAAAGCTCTTTCCCGAGTGGCCCGCTCGCTCGTTCCCCGGCCACAGGGAGGAGTTTTCAAGCGACGAACGCGAGGCGAGACATTAAAAATCGCCATGCGGGCGGCGGGGTGCGCAGGCACGAAAAAAATCAGCGCGACGAAGGGATCGGAGAGAAGAGATCGGAGGAGCGGCGGTGCCCCGCGCGCACATGTGGCGGGAAGTTGTCGTTGATATCTTCTTGCCGTACGTCGTACGATGCCTACGATGACGAACACTCGCCGGAGGAATGGGTTCAATGAATCTGTCCCGGGGCTCGTATTTTTGCGCGCCGCGCAGAAGCGCCGTTGAACGCGCGACATCACGCCGACCGATCTTAAAAATAATCGGTGGTTCATCTGGTGATGCGATAAGGCATCGCCACGCTAAAATAGCGGCTCTCGTAATCCTTCACAGTAAAAAATTTTGTGTTTTTAACACATTTCACATGTCCCAATTTATCCACTCAAATTTTCGTGTTAATTTAACATAAAGCAAATATGTAAAAAAATAACACACATAATATGTAAAAAATTAACATAAAATTTAACATTTAGACGCTTTCAGAAATCAAAGTTTATGTTAAATTGACATCTCTATAATGTTAAATGTAATTAAGATAAGGTGTTATTTTAACATTTAAGAGAAGTATTTATTTTTAGTTTTGATCTTTTTTTTATGAATAACATAAGAATTATGTCAATTTAACACATAGTAACTGTTATAAAAAGGAAGATAACACAATTTATCTGTTCACTTTAACATATAAAATATATCACCAAGAATTCATGCACTTACATATATAAATTGTGTTATTTTAACTCTTAAAAATAATTAATATTAATTTAACATAGAAAAGTTAAGTAACACAACAACGATATGTTAAATTAACATACAACTGTGTCAGAAATTTAACACAAAACTTTCTACACAGGAAAATTTTAACACAAATACAAAATGTTTTTTACCGTGTTCTATTTACAAAAAAAAATCTTTGGCGGGATCAATTGATTTCAGTGCAAACGTCAATAATTTTACGTTACTTTCAATGGACGCATTAAGCATTTTTCAAACTTTAAAAACTTTGCTACTAAATCAAAAATAAAGATTAATCCGCCAATAATAATTCAAAACAGGAATCTTTATTGAATCGACGCAAATGGCAGTCGCTTGCTTGCTCCCGACCGTTCGTCATATCCCATTTGTGTGACTCCGTTTAACCGTTCGTTATGCAAGAAATTCACATCAAAGTGCTCTACGATACCGTACATCTTTTGACATATGACTTTTTCGGTCAAAATTCTCGTATCTCTAAGATGTTCACGTGAGAGCGATAGTTTTATGCCGGTTTATAGACACTTGAGAAGGACCAAACCCCCGGGTCGAAACGTCGTGATTAAGCGTCACTGTTACTCGCCATTTGCGTCGATTCAATAAAGATTCCTGTTTTGCTACTAAATATTTAAATTATTACAGTTTCTATCAGCAGATTCTCCAATTAAAATTACCAATTGTATAATTCGTCGAGAACGCGCGAGAAATATAGAGCAGCGCATCTTCACGAATAAAGATGAATTAAAATTAGGAGTTTATAGCACACAGAAAAAAAAGAAGGGTCAAATTAAAATTTATATACTCGTATGTACGCAACAATCTATAATCTTCTTATAAAAATTTCAACTTTTTTTCTTGAAATATATAAAATTTCGTTCAATTATATAAACAATTTCATTCAAGCAAGTCTTCTCCGTTTAATGCAACATAATCTCACTTCAAGATTGTTGCATATATGTATAATATGAATATATGTATATAAGTATTGATTTGCAACTTCTTTTTTTCTGTGCAGAGGGAATGAATCGTTATTAGTCCGCTTTAATTCATTTATTGAATTTATTCGATCTAAAATACGACTTTTCTTAATTTTAACTCACTCGTTCATTCGTATCAGAAAAATAAATTCATCATCCACTCAATCTATTCCACGATTCGCCTGTCTCCTTATAAATTCCGTGCAGAAGAAAGATGAAAGATTGTTTACCTTGCGCGGCGTCGAGGAAGGGATTCCCGACGACGGGCGCGAAGATCGTCGCGATCGCTGTTATCATCAGCATCATCGAGCAGCGCATTTTCGATGCGTGCACCATGCGAACCACCCTTCTCTCGAATCCCTGCGCAACGATACGCGCGTTCACCTCATCTCACCACCGTACACACGTGCGTGTTTCGCCGTGAGAGAAGAGAGAGGAAAAAAGAGGAAAGACGCGAAAGAAAAAGAAGAAAAGGAAGGAAGGAGAAGAGGAAAAGAGGAGAAGATGTCAGGTAGCCTCGTGGATACGAAGGAGTCACATGTCGAAACGAGACGCACGTGGCACTCGCACGGGACCGAGGTGCGCACTCGAACGCGGCTCGCGAGCGACTGAGCTTTTCGTGGCACTTACGAGCCACGAGTCGAGCTTTTTACTTGAGTGAGTGGGTGAGAGGAAGAAACGAGGAGTAGTGCCGCGGCTCCCCGAGTATCGGAGGGGAGCCCCGGCCCCGGGAACGACGAAGGCGGGCGAAAGAAAGAGAGAGAGAGGCGAGAGAGTGGGACAGCGCGAGAGGAATTGCGTGTGTGGGTGGGAAGAGACGCGTGGCGCGCACGGCTGTCACGCGGGGCAACCCGCTATTGTGACATCTTCGACCGTATATACCCACACGGTACGGTACCCCGCCGTATTTTTTTTTTCTTTTCCATTCTTTCCTCTTCCCCGTCGCCTCTCGACCGCGCGGCGAGTTCTCGTGGCGAGTTCTTTGTTACGCGCGCAAGTAGCGAAATCCGGTGATGCGAGCGAGAGAGAAAGAGAGAAAGAGTAAAGGAGAGCGTAATGGACCACTTGACCGTGCATTCGTTCTCCGGCTGCGGTATCTCCTCGAGTACTTATCCGTCTCCGAGCCGAGAGCACGCAGGTCACAGACGAAAATCAGTCCGCTCCCATAAATCTGTCGCCGCAGCCCATTTGCCTTGTGGCTTCGAGTGTTCCGTATTCCAAGAAGAAGGAAAGCCGATAACCCGGGGACGGTAACTTCCGCTGATAACGCCGCGATACGACGTACGAAGTAAAATCCGTATAATATATTTCCGATATACGCTCGTACCCGATACGCTCGCGAGCCGGCGATCGACACACGTGACAAATAATCCGTACAAATAATCCTCGTGTTTAGGGGGGACATTTCGTCCGTCGTGCTCGCTCCAAACGCTAGAAACAGATACTTTAGCGAGATAAGATTAGACCCGGCATTACTCACGATCGTATCTGGAAATGGGATTATTAATCAATCAAGGAAGTTCATGTTGCACGGTTTTACGCGTAGCAAACGGCTCAATTAAATGTCGGGGATTCTGTCGAAGTGCATAGCCCGAATTTTTCTACGCTTCGTGATTTATTAACGTGGCCGGAGACTCGACCGCGCGGAGGACGATCCATTTTTTATCGATGCCTCGTCGGGTGTCCGAAAACACGTTCGCCATCGTCTTCGGATATTTGATTGACTGATCGGAGAGCGGATTCTCTCGGAGAGCGGTCGTAATTTATTAATTTATTCCGCCGATAAATCGCCTTCAATCCGCACGTGGGTAGCGAACGACCGGTCCTTAGTATCCTTCTCTTCCTCGCTCCCCTTTTAATCTTGTCTCTCTCCTTTTCTCCTTCCCCCTTGCATTCTGTCCCTTTAAAGGGGGGAGGCCGTTATTCTACTATACCGATGTAAATAACGGCAGCGCGGTGTGTCATTTGCGTGCGTTGCACAATTGGCGGGTGTTATGCAAAAATGTGTTAACCCACTAATTTGAAGTAAATTAAGTTTAAAATGCACAGTTACATTCCGCTGACCCAGCTACGAGTACCACTTTTTTTTCATTTTGTCGATTAATATATCCTCAACGTAATACTGTCCGATCGATTCACGTAACAGAAACATTTTTTGTAGCGATATTTATTTATGCTTGTATACCGAATGTTTCTTGGTACCGGACTCAATACTCCAACATTTTTCTCGCCGTCCGTCATCCTCTTGGGATTCCGAGACGATAATATAAATGCAGTCTCAACGTCTGTTCTCGACATCTAGCAGTCACGTAAAGCAAACGCACGACCGGTTACGCGATCGAAGCTCTCCCAAGACACGTCCGCTATGTTAATCGCGCATGATCGTATAAATATTCAAACGTCGCTGCTGGACCGCAGCTCGAGCGGACCTCCGACGTGCTACCGGTGTGGGACTACCTTATCTGAGTATCCACACTACTGTCGCGCATAGATAATTAACACCGACAAGTAACGACGCACAAATCAGTCATCTCGCTCGCGGCGATCGGCGATTGGTACGCGTAAGAATGTATGTCCTCCGGCGATGTCCGCTCTCGAAACCGAATGATTAAATTAGCCGCTCAACCGTCAAACTGAAAATTACTGTCGGTGATTTCGGTTTACCGAAATTACGGTACATAAATAATTAATTATTTAATGATGGCTTTCAGGTCTCAATTGAATTTGTTCTGTTTTCGATGTGCTCGCTCAAAGTTTGCTCGGGTTCATCGAAATTCCATCGATTCGCGTTTACGTTATCGCTCGCTAGAGACATTCGAGGAAAGATGCGGGGATGCATCTCAATTATTCGGCGAGATCCGAGAGAGAGAGCGTCTTACCAAAAATCCGTTTGCGAATGCCAATTCCGGGGAAACCAGTTTTGCCGATCGCCGAACGGCGAACGCGATCGGAGAGTCGCCGCAAATGCATACCGGTTCAACCTCGTCGAACGAGGATACCATAAGGATCTTTATTCTGCGCGGGAGGATGCAGCTAATTTGTGAAGCGAGACCGCGATATTTAACTGGCGTCGCTCACGAACCTCTCGTCGCGACTTCGACGCTAACGAGAGGTTTGCACATGTCGGTGCAATTTTGCGTTTCCTTTCCGCTTCTGTATTCCCGTAACTTTACGCAAAACAGCGGGGAATGTCATTAATTAATTGCGCATGAAATAAAATAATTAAAGAAATATATAATTTTCACGCGTTAACATCGGCCTAGATTTGTTAAATATTTAATATTGTAATACAATGAAATTTTATTACAATATTACATTTTCGTTTCCTCGTTACATTTAATTAGCCTGTCTATTCGTTCTCTTTAGCAAACATTCTCGATAACGTTCTTTGTATGTATCGGAACGTTCTAATACCGGGAACAGCCCGGCAACGCGGACTTCGCCGGACTCGATTTAACTCGCTCAAGTACTCGGAATGGTTATTAATTATCTTCGTGCAGACGCATCGGCTAATTGGACGGCGTCGTATGCATCTACCGGGCGAGACGAGCGAGACGTAAATTTTGATTCATCCCGGATCAATGCAAGAAAGTCATCGTCGCCGATTGTTACGTAATTTTTCTCTTGCTCGCCAACTAAATAATAAAGTCCGTCTCTAAAAGGACTGTTAGAGAAAAATGTTTCATTGAAATAAAAATGTTACTGTCAAGGGTAAACGAGAGATAGAATAAATGTTAAAAAAATACGTAAGAATAGAAGGTTAAAGAACATTAGAAATGTGATGTGCATAATGTGCATATTATGCAAATATATTGTACCCTGTTAAATTCGCAGTGTCAAATTATACTCAATTTAAGGCTCCTGGTCCCTGAGTCGAGAATTCTGCGTTGACGGTGGCGCCGTACCGTCGCGGCAGAAGTAAGAACTCTCTCCTCTCACTCTCTCCAATGGAGAATTCCGTCTTGTGACATGTTGACAACCTTATTTTAAGTTGCGGTATATTTCTTTATTATTCGCTCTGTACTTGTGCTCTAACGTTTAACGTATTCGTGAAACTCGTAAAATTGACCGTATGGTAAGATTTGCAAGAAATATATATGCGGAAGGAACATTCACCGCACTCCTTTCGATAGTCGTCAAACGGCTTGTTTTCCGTATGTTTAGGCTTCGTTTTATGGCTGTTTGTTTATTGTCGAGGGAAAAGAATAGTATCCAGTCAATTTTTGAAGTGTGCTGAAACGATCTGTCGTGATTTTTTATTGAAATGTCTTTTTATTTCGGAAAATACCGCAACTTAAAATTAGGTGTTTTCCTCGCCTCGATAGTAAGAATCCAATATGGCCGCGGTGACTACCCAGGAGCCTTAAGTCATTTTTAACCATTCCTATAGGTCGCCACTGGCTCCTACTCCATAAACTTAATTAAAACAATATTAATTTTATTAAATTTCGACATATGGCAGTTAAAAATAACAAAATTTTATTTAACTCAAGGTTTTTTATCCTTTAATATTTAACAGTATAATATATTTATTATAACTCAAGATCACGTTATTATTCGGAATTCTTATTACATAAAATTGAGAGGGTATTCGATTTGGAAGAAAATTGGATTCGTTGTCAGATAAATTCCCCTCGGGATCTATTTGTTACGAGGGAAAAGAGGGGGCGACTGACCAGAGGCGAAGGGGGTAAACGGTTCGTTGAACGTCGGTATCTCGCGACCGTCGCGGTCGGCGTCGTCGACTGCATGTCGATGAAGCGACGAACGGGCGTCGCTGCACCGTGAGAAATCGAATTCCATCGCGCGCGAATGTGTCGCGGTCGCGTGCAGAATCCCGATGCGTCGCGACGCACCCCCGGTCGTTTGTGCGAAGTCGCGCCGCGGAAGATAATAGCGGGCGACGGGCCAACCATCCGTCCGAGACGTGGAGACTGTAAATGCGACAACGAGGAGACACAATCGCGTCGCGTTCTGCTATTTGGATAATGCCGGGCCTCGCCGCGGCCCTTTTCTTACGCGCCGACCTGTCATTACGAGTTCGAGCATGGAAAGACAATACGACGACAATCAGAGGAATTGGAACGCGCGACAATGAGCGCGCCGGTTGAGACGCGCGCGTGCGTTATCCCGTTACAATTGTCTTTCTATTTAGAAAGTATTCGGGAAAAGTGTCATGTATTACACATCCCGCACTTTCTATATTAAACGGAATAAAACGGAATAATATTTGAAATAATTAAAATCAAATTTGCTATCAGTTATATTGTAACATATCTTTTTTTTTGTACGTCTTTCATTTATTTCTAACAATATATATTTGTACCTTAGAAGTAAAGAATCGTATCTCTATCGTTATATAAATTTAGAGAAAACAGAGTTTAAAGTTAATTATTTCTACGTAAATTTCCAATACGACTTTTTTTTAAACACTGTACCTTAAGAACTAGTAATAATGGTCGTCTCAGAACCTTTATCACTATATAATTTAAGCTCCTGCAATCCTGGTATATTATTAGAACAAGTAAATCGATTCCATTTTTACAAAAAGTAGAGATACAATTCTTTATCTCTAAGGTACAGATATGTACACAGAAAAGAAGAACGTTTTTGATTTAAAAATATCTTTAGTTTCTGTGGAAATCTTGAAATCTTCTCTTTTTTCTGTGCATCTGATATTGTAAGTATTGCTATGGTAATTAGAATTATACGATCGATAGCTTCGCCGGTACCGCGCGTCGGGTTTCTCATAAACCACCCTTGAAACGGTGCATCGGGTCGTTACCGACGGCGTACTCGAAAGGGGTGCCAAGCGGCGCTGGGAGCGTCGTCGGGGGTGGCGTCCGAGCGGGTCGCGCTCCGCGACCATGCAGCGGGTGGCGGGTACCCTTTGCTACCCCCTGCGCGCGAGGGGAAGCGAGTCGTGAAAATCGTTCGGGCGGAACAGACCGACGGACGGAACTGCCTGCGGTGGCTGTCATATGGAGCCGAGCGACGGGGCGGCACGTTAGGGCGATCGGTCGGTCCCGCTGCCGCGGGACGAGCGCGCGGGGGCCTACCACGAGGAAAAGCGTGAATGATCGATCCGACAGTTCGGTGAGTGAAGCGAGCGTGTGAGCGGAGCGGAAGTATCGCGCGGAAGAGCGCCCGCGAGGAAGGAAGGAAGGAAGGAAGGATAAGTGTGCCCGGCGGCGTTTCGGCTTCCGAGTACGTGCGTACTCGCCGGTGCAAGGGACCCGGAAATGGGTCAACCCAACCCAACGACGGCCGTTTTCTCGCACGAGTCACTCGGTGGCCTAGTTTCGCCGGGGGCGAGCAAATAAAAAGAGTCGCGACGCCTCCCCCTCTCGTTCTTCATCCGCCACCACCGTCGCCGCCGCCGTCGTGAGACGGCGGCGACGTTACATGCGTCTCGTCCCTCGTTGCCCGTCGACGACGCCGCCGTTGATCGCGAAGAGAATCGGTCTTCCATCTCGGCCGCGGGGGAACGAGTTATGGACTGCCTCGGACTCGGACTTCCTGCTGGCCTTCGGCTAGTTCGGCTGGCGAGAGTCCATCGATTGACTCGCCGCCGCTCCGACGTCGCGATACGGCATTAGACGCGGGGCTGATAGCCGTGCCGCTGGTGCGGGGGGTGAAGGGCTTGCCGGAGGTGAGAATTGAGAAACCTTTACGTGCAGCGTTTTTTATTCGAGTGAACGGACGACGGTGCCCCTCAGGAGGGAACGCGGTTTCGCGGATCCAGGTCCAGCCGTCGATCGCTCCGAGTTAATTACACTGCAGTGAGCGCGATTAATTGGAGTCGATCACGGTGACACCGTAGATCAGATGCTGCGGATCATCTCGACGCGTATCAATTTCGATCCGTATCAATTGCCGTGTTTAAATTTAATCCGTATCAATTGCGGTGTTCAAAACACCGATCAAAGAGAAAAGAGTTCTCTTCTCTCGGGAAAAAGTCTGAAACGAGAATAATTAATTGTAATTCGATACGTAATTACTATGTAGCCAGCGCGTCGTGTCGAACTTGGTGTTTCACGGTCGTCGAAAGGGATACTCTTTTCCCCCGCCCCGCGTTCGATCGCGCTTCCGAGGAAAAAGGGAAACGTGGAGAAAATCGAACAATGTCACCTCGGTGAAATTTCTCGGGTGTTCTCGGGTATTTTAGAAGATACCCTGTAGACCATTTTTAGAAGATAAGAAGAGTTTGTTGGAACGAGTGCTTCTAATTGTGTTTTCGGAGTTAATAAATTATATCAATTTTAGTGTCAAATAGTGCGTTGATCAATTCAATCTGACGATTTACCGTTCCATTCAATTTAATTAAATTTAATCTTCGATATTCGCTATTCCAGTTAGAGCGCACAAAAGAAGATTCGACAGTTCTCAAGTTCGTTTTATTAATTTAATCAGCTAATTAACGTCGATTCCCGGCGGAATTGTTTCCGGAAGATACGAGCGGATTGTCCGGAAGTCGTCGATTTGTTCGCCATAAGATATCCTGAGGTCGTATCGATTATCGGAAAAGACTAATCGAAATCGCGCGCATAACGTCAAATTATCCATCGTCAACTCTCGGCGCGTGCTAACCCATCGTGTCGTAAATGGATCTGGAAATCACGACTCGCGACCTCACCCTCGTTGCGTTGCTCGTCGTTCGATCGCAATGGAAGCGTTTTTTATCTAACTTTTTTTTCGTTCTTGGGGAATCGATGGGGATAAGTAGTTAAAACCAAGAGCGAGACCCAGAGAAGGTTGAAGAAAAGTAATTACGATTAGAATAAATGGCAACAGTTCTTATCCTATTATATATAATTATTTTTTTACTTAATTAGTATTAATACGCACGTTGATATGAAGATTAATATTACTTATAGTTACGAATATATAAATTATACGAAAGTATTTTATAAACGTATATAAATTAATTACTATTTTTTGCTTTCACGGTTTGCGTGCGTTACGATACGCGCCGCATAAAATTTATTATTTTCTGCCTCTATCAACATAATTAATGAAAAGCTTCCGGTGTAAATAAACGGTATTTACACAAGGATTATGTTATCTGACCCGCCGTTGTATCCCTGCATTATTTACTACGGAAACGTCGAATTAATCCCAGTTGCCCGCGTCGTCGCGTAGCGCGCGCGATTAACCGGTGCTAAATTTATGACCCGGCGCGGCGGTGTGAGTAAATCCTCCCGCGCTTCCCTTAATGATGTTCTGACTGAATCTTCTGGCAAAAGGATCCGAAAGGAGGAAGCCGCTACCACGGACACCCTGAAAATGGCGTCCAGCAAACCGCCGGAGATGAACTACACGTGCGAGATATGCGGCCTGGAGGGCTTCAACGACGAGGAGATGCGCTCGCACATGGTGCAGTACCATCTCCAGGGCGCCGCCAACTGCCCGTTCTGCGATCTGGGCGAGATCTCGCCCACGGAGATGCTGGTCCACGTCAACAGCGCTCACTTGGATTACCTGACTCCGAGGTGTGTTAGACGGAATGGATAGAGTATCACTGTTCTTTCTAATTGTGCTTCTTACACGTTGCATCTCTCTGATATTAGAGGATGGAAATATAAGTTTATTTCAACTCGTATTATCACATTTATATAATGTTGTTAATATCATAAATAAGTGAGATATCGAGTAGATTAATTAAAATATAAATTTCTTTTGACTCGTATTATTATTATTATTATTATTGCATTTATGTTGTTTATATATCATAAAAAAGTGGGATATCGAGTAGGTTAGTTAAACTTACTAAATTTTATTTTTACGGAAAGTATTATGGTCATATTAAAGATTATCAGATTAAAAATCATATCAAATTACTATTGGAAAGTGAATACACTGAAGATTTTCCTAATGTCAATCAAACCATGATTCTTATTTCGATTCTGCAACGTACCCGTTATAAAAAGGCAGTCACGGCGTTCAATTTCCTGTCTGGCTTTATCCGCTTTTCTTCCAACAATAAACAAAAGTGATAATAATAAAACAGATCAGTTATATTGCAAGTAAAAAGAAATTTATATTTCCAAAAACTCGAAAAGTCAGAATGTCTCGATAAGAATTCAATCTCAATAACGTAAAAGATATATAGTTAAAAGAATGTATTGAAAGAACGTGTAGTTAGAATAATATGTCTAATTGATGTTGTTTAGCTTAATTAATCCTATTGAATGTAAAACTCGGCTGGAAATATCTATGTTTAGCCCGGGACCAGATTTATTCGCATGCGTCGCTCTTAATTGCGACATCTCCGATCAGCTAACCCGCATCCCGGGTAGACCGCCCGCCATACCAGACATCGCACCTGACAGAATCTAACAGACCCTCGGGTTTCGCCTTTTCAGGTCTCCCACCGTTTCGCTGTCTCTCGTGCTCCTTCGCGTCATTCGGTGGTACGCCCTCCATTCCATAAATCTCTATCTCGATATTGTTACGATTAAGCAATGAATTCGGTACCTTGTCTATCGCCTCCTTGTGCCTACCTGCATACAATGTATGTACGCTAAGCCCTGGTCCAGGTTCTCGTGACAGATATGACATTTCAAGTGCTTTACTTTCTGACGCTGAATGAGGATCTTCTCGTCCACGAATTCACGGTTGCAGTACCAGCACCAGCACTCGACTGCTTCTTCTTCTTGCGGCCCATCTTCCCGCCGGATTACATGGCTGCATTCGAGGAGCGCGCTATTAGCGCTATTGCATCATTCTGTCTTTATCGCTCATCAGGTGTAAAACAAGGATAGAACAAGCAAATAGCGCTAATAGCGCGCTCCCCGAATCCAGCCCTTGTCGCTACTTCGGCGGTGACCGGCGTGACCCTGCTCCGCAAAACGATCCTTGACGTGCCGAGTATAGGTATACGCGGCGCAGAAGGACGTCGGCGCGGCAATCGTCCACACACGCACACACGCACTCACGCGAAAACGAAAACCGATAATGCAAAACATTTTTAATTATGCATAATTCTAAACACACACACGACACACACCGAAAAGAATGACTCCCGAAACTCCCGAAATAAACGAGATGTCACCACCAATCGATATCGTTCATTGGTGTGACTGTCGCGTAGAAATTTATATTTACCGACGCGCAGTAAATTGCTGTGAAAATAAAACCGATAACGAAGTTTCCGCCAGTAAATTATCGGTAACGTCACCGGCATTTAATTTCCCGCCATAACAAGCCAGGTGACTGGACCGAACGATTTAAAGTGCCTGTCAGTTGTCATCACGACAGTCGACACCAATTTGACCAATTTGAACAGTACCAGTCAACAGCGTATCGTCATATCGTCAACAAAACATGTATAGGTGTACTCGCACGGATCTGAGGAGGTTGCAGAATCCACCTAGGCGAGATAAACGGGTTGGCGAAACTGGATTGAAACCGCTGAAATTGTTCATGTGGCAAATGGCGAAGAAGCGGAAGAAGCGACAGCGCGCCAAGGAGCGCGAAAGGGATTTGTTGACTGAAATGTAATACAAATTTTATAACACACAGACGCAGTACTTGGGCAGTACTTGGCACAGTGTTCGCGGCATTCGTATCTGTGCGCGCTCGTGCATAAATATTGTTTTGCACGCTCTATTGCTCCAGTGAACAAAGATCGACGCTGACCCTGTTGTTTGTATACTTGCAGCACCCCGGAGAATGATTTGATGGCGTTTATCGACGACGACTCGCTGATGGACGAGCACAACAGACGGGACGAGTGCCGGGCACTCTCGCCGTCCATGTCTCTGCGACCACCTCATCTGCAGAATGGCTGGGGCTGCAGCTCTCTGGGGCAGCGGGTCAAGCAGCAGCAGCAGCAACAGCAGCAGCAGCAGCAGCAGCAGTTGTCGTCGAGGAAGCCGGATGTCCAAGTGGCGAATCCCAACGTGAATAACAATAACAACAATAACAACAGTAACAATGCCAATGCGGGTAACGGATACAACCTGTTTAGACCGTACTCGATGTGAGAATACAAATGTGTAAATTAACGCACGGCTTCCTCTTGTTCAGTACTGGAAGGTGCGGCGGGTCAAGGTTCACCGCTGCGTTCAGGCCTAAATCTGCAACTGCGCTCGCACGCTTCCCCGAAACTTCCAGTGCAGGAGTGCCCGATGTGCCCGTACAGTTCCGACAGTCCGCTGAGGCTGGAAGAGCATATCAATCGCCAACACTTTGATCTCACCTCACCGTCCTTCCCGCCGGACTCGCCGCCGTCGCGGGACGGAGTCTTCAACTGCCCCCTTTGCGTTACGTCGTTTCCGAATTCTTCTGATCTTGAGTTACATGTCAATATCGAGCACAAAGATATACTTAGGTACGACGCATCCACTTGCAATATTTAACGTAGCGTTCCCTGATAACCGCCAACGATAGAAAATGATAAAAAACTTTTTATTGTTTTTAATATTGTTAGTGAATCGTTTATTTTCTTATTTAGATCTAAAGCGATAGAAACCGATAAGATACGATTGAAAACGATACAGATATAGCCGTTTTTAATCGTTTTCTATTGGAAATGGTTACCAGGGTTTCGAGATAACAGTTAATTAATAGCGCAACTATACGATAAATGAATTAAACGATTATTTATTTTCGTTAGCCCCGCAAACGGAACCAGCTCGCAATCCGATACGGCTACCGTCGGTAGCGACTCTACGCCTGCCTGTCCGGTATGTCTTAGTACATTATTTAAAAATAATGACGACCTAATGGCACACATCGAAGATCACTTCAGCAAGAAGAGCACGCCGTCGCCAGTGACGCCGGACGTGTCAACCGATCGTCTCCTAGCGAAGGATATGGAGAGGAGAGAAAAGGAAGTGAGAAAACTGCGCGAACAGCGCGAATTCGAGATGCTGAGAGCGCAGTACGGTATGGATAATCAGGGTAACTTTAGAGAACAGAGTGTCACCAATATGCAGCGGGCTGTGTATGCGGGCGAGATGACGGTGGCCGATTTTTTCGAGAGACAAATCGAGCTAAGAGTCGCCGAGAGTAGCGGTATCGACGACGGCAGTTCTTGTACACGCGGTAAGTACGATTTACAATGTCTTGTGTGCAAAAAGAGTCCAGTTCTACCCGAGAATCTTCACAACATTATTTATTCTCTTGCAGGGCTGGTCCCGAAAGTACGAGCCATTAGTCAGGCTTGCAGTAACGTAGTGAATACCTGGATGTGTTCCACTGTGGACCATTACGCATCGACCTACGGCGATAAGGGCTGGGGCTGCGGTTACAGAAACATGCAGATGCTAATCTCATCTCTCTTGCAGCACACAGGCTACAACGATCTAGTTTACAAAGCGTGGAGCTCAGGGGCCGGTGGGAACAGCTCAACGGAGAATCCCCTGCGCAGCTCTATGCCATCGATCTCAAGATTGCAGAAGATGATCGAATGGGCATGGGCGCAGGGCTTTGATATTCAGGGCGCGGAGCAGCTCGGCGGTAAACTCGTTAACACTAGGAAGTGGATCGGCGCCACGGAGGTATTCACGCTGCTGTCTAGTTTGAGGATAAAGTAAGTTCCATGATCGCGATCGGTCGCCAAGTCATACGACGCACACTTTTCTCTCCCTGACTTCGTACAGGTGTCAGCTGGTGGACTTTCATAGACCTACCAGCGCGGATGGCGGCCATCCCGAGTTGTTCAACTGGGTCCTGCAATACTTTCAACGATGTGAAGAATTCAAGCCACCTCTTTATCTTCAACATCAAGGTAAACGTTTTTTCAAAAGTATCTTTCATCTTGTATCTTTCAAAAGTTAGCTAACACACTCAACGTTAATAAATTCAGGGCATAGCAGAACGATCATGGGTGTGGAACAGCTAAGGGACGGCTCCATAACCATGCTGGTGCTGGATCCGAGTCATAGTCCGGCGCAAATGACGCATTTCAATAGCACGAGTAGCGCGCCCGGCGCGATGAGACTCGTGCGGAAGTCCACCGCGGCAATGAAGGCCAGACAGTATCAAGTTGTGGCTGTAACCGGTACCATGGATACAGAAGCGCAGTACCAGGTAATATATAGACGTCTTTAAATAGCCCCTTTATTTATTAATAGTACGCACGACGCGTCTATTTCACTTCTCGTATTTCTTCATTTTTTTTCAGCAAAGTAAAGTATTACGATCAATGCGAGTTCCTCAAGACAGGTGAGAGTTGCTGGTCCGAGAAATAATCAAGCCTCGGGCAAAGACTATAGACTACTGCCTCAAACCAATCTTATCCGACATCCTTGAAGTTACGTGACCGTGATGTCCTATGTTCTTCTATCGCTAGCAGACTTACTCCATTGTAGCATATTATACATAGTTGCAGATCATATTATTTAACAATATATTCTTGCATCTCTCTAGCCGTTAACGATGGACTGACTTCTTGAATCGTTGTGCCCGCGCGAAGCCTGTGACGCGGTGGACAATTTTGCGGAGCTAATATTTAAATATCAAAAGATGGCTCTTCGTCGCGTCGCGATTGTCGTTTTAAACACGTACGTAATTTTTTCCCGAACGGAGAAAGTTCTTAATCTTAAATTTGTCGTACTACGTGCGCGTAAATTTCCGCGAAGAAAATTATCAGATCGAAACAGGGACGAAAGGCCCCCGTGGGAAGATAGCGTTAAATCGACCGTCATTTCTTGTCCAAAATGTTCTGCTCAATTTTCGTCGCACCGAACAGGCTGTGCTAATCCTTAGTCGACCAATCGTCTTGTACCGATCGGTTGCACCATTGAAAAAGCCGTGGCAGAGCTTGGAAAACGAGACTTTCGTAGCTGTGATGCTGTTATCAATACGACGCTAATCACTCACATACGTCTAACTAACACACTCTTGGAAACGCTCCAGAATCAACACGGTGTTCCCAGCACTTGTCTCGTTCTACAATCCTACAATCTGTGACAAAGATTTCCATCAAAGCGTTGTCGACTTTTAGTCAATATAAAAAGTGCCGAGAGCCGTACGGTGTATACCTTACGACAAATTTTATATAACAATACGAAAGATATTCTTTGACGCATTTTGATTGCTAAAACGCTTCTATGAAAGAATCTGGAGTGTCTGCAAAAGTGACAAAAAAAATCGCATTTTCATATATTATATATATTATATACTATATATACATACACACATACACACATATATATTACACATCTGCACACTCCGTTATATCGAATTTCACTTGCCCACACATAAAGTACAACTACTTTCATATTAATTAAAAATATTCTATTTAATTATCCAAACGACTTTAGGCTACTTATGTCATAGCTCGTAAGTCCAACGCAATGCTGTGAACGAGAAGATAGATGAAAAAAAAGTCCATTTACTTGTTATTTATATTATACACTCGACGATTATGTGAGTTAGTAAAAATTCTTATTATTACTCTCTTATCATATTTCATAAATTGTACTGATATATTTAAGATCTATTTATTATAGTTAAAAAAAATATATTTGCGATCATTCTACGAGGACGCGATGCCTCGCGAGGACGTCGCGCCGTTGTTTTATAGCTTCGGTATTTATGGTGCACCAGTCAAATGTAAGTTTGTCTTTCAGCCCAGTGTAGGACCACGTTGCAATAACATTATTTACATTATTGACTGGCTGTAAAAACTGTCAAAAAAAAAAAAACCGATAAATTACAACTATAGTACTGAAGATTTCGCCATATATCGATTTAAGAATCTGTTCATTATTTGGAGTGTTCAGGGAAACCAAGCTGTGGAATTGTTATGCAAGAGTAAAACCTTTGCATTAGCCACACATCAAATTAAAATATATGCTTTGTTAGAATTCCCAATACGGCTTCACTCCTTCTATCTCTTTCGTCCTATTCTAATGAATGCAAATAGTGCTGGGATATTTAAGACCGATAAATCTTGTTGAAAAGACGAGTATGATTTTTTTTTTATTTCTAACATATAGTTACATCATAACAGTCTACTTCATATTCCTCGGAGCTCATTCAAAATAAAATCAATTTATTCAGATTTAAACTCTTGTAGCTTTACATAATACTTTATTCTTTATCAAGTCTAAGAAGAAAATTATTTACAAAGACATATACATATAAACCATATATAACCTGAGACTTCAAGATCCATTGATGAGTATGCTCTTTGCGACAAAGATGCCTTTGGTGTCAAAATATTTATTATTCTTCTATATGTTAAATCCCATTGATCGCATACAAGTTTTATGCGCTTCTATGAGGTCGCCACAATTTTCCTCGCCCTTTTCTATAATACTGAAAAAAAATCAGAGTTATAAATTAGACATAACTATATGATTTAAAATATTTTATGTATAAAATAATACTTCAGAAAAATAAATATTAATTTTCTTTGATTATACATAATTTTACGCACCACCTTAGAATAGAATATATACAACTATCGAATGACTGTATTATTAATTAAAGTATTAATTTAAAAATTTTGTTCAACGCGAAATGAGATAGAAACATTTCTAACCTATACCGCACATTCGGTAAATGTTACTTGAATTATATTACATACCATGCGTCTCTCGCCTTCTTGGTTTCAGGACAGGCGCAGCAAGGTTTCAGTTTCTTCTTCTCTTCCGGCTTCGCTTCTACTTTCGCTGAAGCGTTACCCATTTTTATTAATTATAAGGAGAAACTCCGGCGTAAACCCGAATACCATCCAATCCAATTCCAATTATAATATATCAAACTATGGAAGAATTTATCCCATGTAGGTATTCATTATCGTCATTAGTGACTCATATTTTCACGAACAGATGGCGACAGCAGGTAACTCGCGAGTCTCGCGACGCGACAGTCAACACGCGTGCGTAGAAACGTTTCTCTTCGGCAAAACGCCGTTTCCTTTTCCGTTTGGATCTGACTAAGGTTCGTGGCGTTTTTGTATAATTTTATAATATCCACGTTGCGCGTGTCAATCGTAAGATGCATTAATGTCACACGATCCCCGTAGAAATCTGCGGTGTTCGGTTGCGCGTCGCAATTCTATATAAATCGATTTCTCTCGCTAACGAGGTGATTTTCGTTGCAGCGTCAAAATGGTGCAGCGGCTAACCTATCGGCGACGCCTGTCGTACAACACAAAAAGCAACAGAAGGCGTGTGTAAGTATCTATGTAAATAATGGAAAATATTAATTCCAGACGAGATACGTTGATTTCCGTTTGCAGCGAAGTTTTATTTTGATGATAGTAGCGTTGGTCGCGGTAAACAGTTTCAAGAGTTTGAGGTTATGTTTTGATCATTTGCACCAAGCTGCATAAAATTCACGTACAATGGACAGTGAAAATCATTAGATAAATTGAATTATTGTTCACGTTAACATTTGTTTAACCATCATTATTGCGAATATTCAGTCTGCACTCTTCGGAGTATATGTCACATTAGAGTGAATGTTTCTTGGTATAAATTAAATATTTAAAAATTATATTATTAAGAACTGATTGAGGTGAATTCTTGTTTACAGTGTACGTACGCCAGGTGGCAAATTAGTCTACCAATATCTGAAGAAACCTAAGAAGATCCCAAGGTGTGGACAATGTAAGGATAAACTCAGGGGTATCCAGCCCGCGAGACCAATGGAACGTTCGCGTATGTGTAGACGTAAGAAGACTGTCAAGCGGGTGTACGGCGGAGTCCTGTGTCACAAATGTGTAAAAGAAAGGTATGTATTTAACGAAAGCATGTTAAAATGCTTATATTTTAAATACTTCTTCACTAGATACAAGATGGAGAATTATTTGTTTTTAAAGTAAGATTAATCGTTACTTTAATATATAATAATGCATCAAGCATATAAAGTTTCGCATAATGAGCTTGCATATAATTTTCAGGATTGTGCGTGCGTTCTTAATCGAAGAGCAAAAGATTGTCTATAAGGTTATGAAAGCACAGCAGGCCTCGGCAAAGACGAAAAAGGCAGAGAAGTAATCTTGTGCTTTTTATTAATTAAATAAAACACAATAAAATCCCAAAAAATCAGCAATTGCTAATATTATTATAGTATGTCGCATTTGTTGTACTATATTGACTTTGTCTTCGTGAACAAATTCCACAACTTATTTGAGAATAGACCTTTCTTAATTAAAAATCCTATATAAATTAAAAAATCCATGAATCCATGAAACCATCATTTATCGTATGTAGTAAATAAAAGAGAATTATTCATCTGTTCTCATGTTCAATTGCTTGGATTTAAAGAGTGTATTTTTATTTTATTTTTTCATCACTTGACAGTTGTACAAGCTCAGCAGTTGTCTCTATTGAATTCAGTAGTCAATATCTACATCAATTTAGGCGTACCATTTTTCTTACAACCACATTTTTGTTTATGAATTCGTCTCATTTTCTCAATTTAATATGTGATACTCCTGTCTAATCTCCACTGTATTACTACGACGGATATTTTTAAGAATGATACTATGATACATGGTAGGTTTTTTTTAAAGACTAGTTTTATGCCGTGTCTCCAACCGACTTTTATTAGATTTTTTACACAAAACTTACATCCCGGTCCATAACTCTTTTTGCTTTGTACTATCTTTTCCCGAATTGTGTATTTATGTGCATAAATCCGCAGTAATGAACTAGAATCCGTAGCCTAAAGAATTTTGTGGATCAATACTCTCTGCGGGTACGATCCTCGTAAATATTAAACGCAGGTTGATGACAGGCACGCGGATGCGTGCGCATAGAAAGCACGTGGTGAACTCGCTCGTTCCGCCCGATGTGTGTACGTGGCTGCATTCGACAGGCGCACGTATCAATACAATATGCCTCGTAAAATTGATCACACGTAATTACCATGAATAAACACATATTTTGTAATTCTGCACAATTCAAATTTCGAATCGATTCCTAAACTTTAAAATGCCAGGATATAAAATAGTCCTCTCGGTTAATATAAACTAAAATAATGATTATCGTTCGAATAAAATTGTTCATCAAAATGTTTCTTAATTCGATATTTTATTTTCGAGGTACTTAATATGGATTGTTAAAGAGCTTCTGGAGACTAAATTTGAATAAATAAGGATTTTTCCATCCGTCGCGCGTGCTTGAAGAAATCCATTTCACAAATTCGCGAAATAGATAGCCAGAACTGCGTTAGTGGTTTTGGACCGATGTTGCTGTTGCGTACGCGCGAGGGACTCGGTTAACACACGCCGTGTATGGACTGTATGGCGATATACTTGCAAGAACGCTTGTGATTTCGGGGGGAGGAAGAGGAGGAGAGCGATCCTGCGAACGACGCCGCGCGGCGACAGGTATTGTGTTGCCGATTATGGCAAAAGGGCTGCCCGCAAAACCCGTCCCGGCGGGGCCCGTTGCGAGTCTCGCTAGCCTCGGAGCGCCTTAACAAGTGCCTTATTTGTTGGGCACACGTATGGACATGTATGTAGCCGGGGGATCGGGGCCCGGGGACCGACTACGGTATCGGGTATACGCGTGCTATAGTTTCCACGGTGGTGCAGAAACGCCGCGTCGCGTCGGCGTCCAGCGAGCGGTGAGAGCTGTTAAAGGCTTGTCACCTGAGAATGCGGACAGCGCGGCGGGCTGGCATTAAATACCTGGCGTGCTATGCTGCGCCTATCGTTTTACCGCGTCCTGAAAAATGTTACGGCTAGAACCCGCCGGAATTTTGTTCGCCGTTCTCGCGGTCCCGCAATAAGAGCAACACTCTGCGACCAAATCGAAACGGCGAATACATAATTAGTATCTGTATTCTCAAATCTTTACGTTTTTTATGTATCTTTTACTTTTTCCGTTATTATATTTTGATGATGATTCCTTTGGACTAGCTGTGTTTTAAAAATTGATTATTTCTCAATAAAAATGCCCGGTTGACGTTAATTTTCAGCCGACATGAATAAGCGACTGAAGTTAACATGTTTTGGGCGAATTAAATTTTTATATCGTTCCGCAATTAATTTCAATGATGGTCCCTTCAATATTTTTGTGAAAAAGAAGCAATTTCTAAATTGCTCAAAGAACTTATTGTTAAAATACAGTGGAAACGAGATATATTGTATTTAAATAGACTGAACGGTAGACAAATTTAATCGGCTTCGACTTTGTGGATAGAAGGCAGAAAAAATTTAAACGCGAAATATTTATTTATAACGCTTCGTTCGACGTGATCCTGAAAAGAGCCGCATTCTTCGTGGTATTTGTGATCGTCGAGCGATCTTTGCGATCTCGTCGATTCCGGAACGTGACCGGACAACTAGAACGCGAGCTCGTCGTTTCCTTTTCGAGTTAAAAAATTCCCGTCCGCAGCGGGTAGGATGAAAAGGAGTGCGGAGAATGGCGAGGATGGGTCTCGACGCGTAAAAAAACGGCGCGACGAAAAGTTAGATGCCACGAGGCTAATCCGATTTCACGGAACGGGCTTGGCGGCCCGTTCTCCAACCGTGATTTCGAGTTTTCCGCAGAATCTCTCTCACCGGTGCGCGCAAAACACCCTTCTCGAGGCCGTATCGAGAATATGATCGCTGCGGTTAGCCGACGTGGCCGGCGCGGCATTTCGTCTCGGTTCAATTGCCTCGGAATCGCTCGCTGCAACCACCGCAGCTGCGAGCTGCGAGTAGCAAGCGAGATTGGTACACCTACTCGTGCGCATTGCAATTTTCGATTCCCTCGAGCGTGCCGAGATGCATCGCGGCTATCAAGTTGAATCGTTCCCCGGCACCGAGACGCCGTACACGGCGTTTACGACGGAAAGGGGAAATAATATTTTTTCGAAACGAGTTCCGGACAACGATATTTCACTATAAAATATTAAAGGATAAAATTTAAACCTTGAATGAAATAACATTTTGTTATTTTTAACCACCATGTGTGTCGAAATTTATTATTTTAACACAAAACAGTATTATATTTTAACTCCATTGGTTTAGTTAAATTAACATTGTGTTAGTCAAATTAATGACATAATGACTCTTGAGTAAAAGCAGTGGCGACCTATAGGAACGATTATAAAAATGATTCAAATTGAATACAATTTGACACTATGAATTTAACAGTGTTTAATCTCAGAAAAAGAATGTAAAGTTTTCTTCCGAATAAAATTGAATTTTAATTAACAGTAATGACGGACGACAGCTTGAGACAGAAAATGGTACACGTAGAATTCTCTCTCTCTCCTGACAGTGTACGGAGGAGACTGGCCGTTAAATTTCGCGCCTCCATTTGGAATTACACAGGAGAATACATCGGCCACAAACAGCAATTGTCCGGTGTCACGTTTAATTGATGGTTGTAAAATGTAGCGCGAGCGTGCACAGTCGAGAATAATTTGGCGTGAGACGCGCGAGGCTGCCTCTCGGAGAGGAGATGCGTCGCCACGTGATTCCTATAATTTTCTGGATCGTGTTTAGCGAAACGACAAGTGGGTAGGTGTCGTAATAACGCGGGTCCCTATCATTTCGCGACATTATTATTAGATCGACGCGCTTTGCATCGCATTATTTGCGTCGCGTTATCGTCACTGTGTTCGCGAGGAAATTCTCCACCACTCGAAATAATACGCGCGAAATTCGTCGATGGAGTAAAATCTTCGTGATAAAATTTGACAAATGTTTCAATACATATAATTTAATTAAAGTATAACATACATTTCAAAATTCTCTTTTTATAATAGAGGTATTTCGTGATAAATTATAATATACGTTTCAATTGTATATTTTTCATGTTTAATGTTACAATACGCATAGTTGCATAATAATAATATGATGTCTTATAATTGTAATTATACAGGTGATTATAGCATACGCTATATTATACAATTAAGTGAAGCGCAGTGCACGAGATTAGGAACAATTTGTATCATAAAAGTGTTTCAGAAGATACGCGTTAGCGTATGATTCCTATAATTTCCAACGCTCGTGTTTGACAAAATAACAAGTGGGTGGGTGTCGGTTTTCACACCCGCGGCTCGGCGGGGCCTCTCGGGAGAATGTAAAAAAGGGTGGCATACGAAACCGGTCCCGATGAATCTTTGTTATATGAAGCCCCCACATATCGCTTGCCGCCTTCTGCGTGTGCCTATAAGGACGAAACAGCTAGCCCCAGGACCGTATAACACTACGAAAGACACCTTCTCTTTAGATTCTCAGTTGTCGTTAAATTAAGGACTAAAGCGTATTATTATTATTATTATCATCATCATCCAATATTAATATTCAAACAGCTTTGAATATTTTATTACGATCCTTTTTTTAATGAGAAAAAATCGGAGTCGACACGTCGTCGAATTTATCTCAATAAGACGCAGTCGTCTCATTTTATTCTTGATATTATTGGAAGTATTCCGTTGCGAGAACAAATGGTTATTAACTGGCGGTTCATCTCATATATACAGTCCATTCAACGCCGGCGAATTAAATATAGCCGTTACGTCGAATTCGCGTGTTCAACGGAGCGCCAAATGCGGCGAGTCCTCGTTCATTAGCTTAAGCGCTCGGTTACATCATGCCCGATTAAAATCGAATGTAAATCGTAGCTCTCACACGAGTCGAGGATGTCTCGTCGTAATGGCCGGTCATACTTGGGCGTGAGTGTTTTGCAACAAAATTGAATATGTTGCCGAAAAACAAATCGAGAGAGAAATCGTTCGTTCAGTCCCTAACAAAATGAGTATCGCATTTTCTGTCATAGTACCGGATTTTCGTGTTATTTAGAATCTACAACTGAAACATTATCTATCTCAGCTTACATGATAATCAACTGAAATCTATTCCAAATAAAGTTTTACCCAGTAAAATTGGTATTGAGTTCGCGTATCAATCCAAGGGTTCAAGAGTACAACTCTTAAAGGGTTAAGAAAGTAATATAATTCTGATCAATAGAAGAGATCGATTAATCTTTGCTGGCTACTGTTCTTCTCTCCAGACCGCGACTCATTCTTGGCGGTGCGTTTTCTTTGATCGAATCACTGGTGGCCCCAATTCACACCTGACTCTCAGCGATAAAAAGCACCTCTAAAGATATCCTTATCCAGCTTCTGCGTAGGCACGAGTCCCGTTTCTACGTCTCGAAGGAAGTTGACTGTTATCGTAGAGCAGGTAG